AACCTTTGGAGAGTCTAAGTGATATCTAGATATTTCTCATAATTTTTAATGTGTTTATGGTGTGTTTTCAATAGATTTTGTTAAGTTTTATTTAATTTTTATGTTTATTTGTTTTTCTATTTATTTTTATTATTTTTAATGTTTTTTTAAGTATTTTGGTGGTTATGGAGACTTGAAGAAAATTGATAGGATTTGGAGAAAAGAACTTGGAATTCAAAGATTTTCACAACTCAAATGTGAAAAGCAGAAATGACTGTGGAAAAGGCGTTAGAAATTCAAAGACCACAACCTGATCGTGGAAAACAAAAGAGCAGTTAGAAGATGGACAATTACGAAAAGAAAAGAACTTTTTTTTTTTTGGAGACTTTGCAATGGTCTTTATGAGATATTATTAGAAAATTTTTAGGGGAGAACAAGGAGTCATCTTAGAACTTAGAGAGAAAAAGAAAAATCTCTTCTTCCTTACTTTTTGTGGAGCAAGAGCCATATGCAGAGATTAGATTTCAGAGTTTGATTTCTATTTCTATAATTTCTAGATTGAATCATGAATTCTTCTCTTTCTTTCTTGTATTCTTTTGATATAGCTATAAAGTAGTTATCTTTTGCTAGGATAAACATGAAGCCTTGATTTCGACAGATGTTTAATTTTTATAATATGAATTTCAATTTGAAATTTATGCAAAAAACTTTTATCTTAATTCTTGTGTGTTGTTTGACTGATTCTATTTCCTTGGTTTGTTTTCGATGGAAGAATTAAGAATTTGGGGTTAATCAATTTCATGCATGTTCCTATGATTTTGTAAAACTTATTAATCTTGGGTATTTTCTGATAGAAGGCCTAGGATTGATTTGTGGCTTAATTCATTTTCTGGTAGGAGGAATTAAAAATTACTTCTGTTTTATGCAATTCAATCTTTAAGTTTCCTGGTAGGAGTTAAAACTGAATTTAAAATTTATTTCTTGATAGAATAAATAGGCTCAAGAAGAACTTACCAATCTCAAAATTGATTTTCAATTTTGAAATTGCATCCTAATTAGTCAAGGTAGATTGTGGATCCTAACTCTTTAAATCATTGGTTATTCAAAAATTTAATTATTTGCTTGTTTAATTCAATTAGTTTATTTAATTACAATCTCTCATTTAATCATTTTCTCAAATAATAGTAATAATTTTGGTTTTATTAACTTTCAAACTTGGTCTCTGAGGGAATGATATTTGGGACCCTAAGTCCCATACTACTTAAATGACTAGTACACTTGCTAGTATTGTCTAAGAAGCGTCACTAAGCCTTATTTCTCCCCAACTCTTTAGAGGGAGATTAATAGAAGGGGAAGCTCCTTTAACTCCTCTGTCTATATCTGTTCCTGAATAGTTTGGGAATATAAACACTAGTGATGAGCAGGAACCTAAAAAATGTAAACTTATGCTAGATTTAAAGAGGTACAGTTGAAGAGAGAAGGTTAATGTCATCTTGCTTCATACACCTGGTCAACCGTTGCCTCTGTAACCAACTCTTGAAAATCCATATGTGAGTCTTTTATAACTCCTAATTCTAATTCTGCTACAATTCTCTCTTTTAATATCTTTGACTCTGACCCTATAATTAATGATGTTGATATTCTCATTGCTCTTAGAAAAGGGGTTAGAAATTATACCAAACATCATGTATCCCAATTTGTTTCTTACGACTCTTTATCTCCTGCCTATAAAGCCTTCATTTATCTATTTCTTCTATTTCTATTCCACATAATTGACAAGAAGCATATCGAGATCCAAAATGGAAAGCAGCAATGATGGAGGAGATTAAATCTTTGACAAAAATGAAACTTGAAAACTTGTTTCGCCTTCATTAGGGAAAACCTAATGGGATGCAAATTGATGTTCATAATAAAACACAAGGTAGATGACAATTGAATGATACAAAGTCAAATTGGCGGCAAAGAGATTTACTCAGAGCTATAAAATGGACTGCTAGGAGACTTTTGTTCCAGTTGCAAAGATGAATATCAGTAGAATCTTGTTATCCTGTGCAACCAACCTAGACTGGGGTCTGCATCGATTTGATATAAAAAAAATATTTTTTTACATGGTGATCTAGAAGGAGAAAGATATTCCTCCAAGCTTTGATAGTGAAAACCAAAGAAAAGATTATTAGATCGAAGAAAGCGAGTTAATTTCACTGGAAGGGCCTAAACTATATAGATAATCACTAAATGGGGTACTAATTTCAATTTGTAACTTAAAAATACCTAATCTTATATTTTTATAATAGTAAAATATCTTTTGATGCAATTACATTTTTCCATTGGCTGGAATTCCATATACACAACACATGGATATTTTTTAATTAATTTTTTAATTTGAAAAAGACCTCTCTCCTACAGTTCATACTTATCTCTCTCTGTATGACTTAAAGTCCTCAATGACTAACTTCCGTCTTTTCTCTCTTTTCAATGAAGAACGAGACGACAAAGAAAGGGGTGGCGAAACCAACAACCACCTCTTTACCCTTTCTCTTTCTCTCTCTCTCTCTCTCTCTCTCTCTCCCCCCAACATCTATAAAGCCCACATCACTAGTTTTACGATTTTGCTTTGTTGCAGTTTAGGCAGCCATGAAAATCGGTGAACTCAAGCTATTTTTGGCAAAAGATCACCATCTCCGTTGATTAAACACACCAATAGGGTCGACGAAATGCAAGGAACAGTAATATGGCCTCCATTATCGCAAACCATGGTCGCATCTCAAACTGTCATGGAGATAATTGTATTCCAGTGAGATTTGTTCCACCTCTGGCCAGAACGAGGATCAAGACAGATACTTAAATGATCTAGTCCTCCCTTTATCTCATTTCCCTTCCGTCAATTCTGAGTTTTGAAATTTTTGGGTTTGAGGATAAATTGAACATTCTTGAAATTTTGAAATTTTTGGGTTTGAGATTTGGGAATTTTGTGTATAGCTTGAATTTGTATTCAAATGATAAAATTGACGGTGGAAATAAAACCTTCATGACATTCCGAACATTTTGATAGAAAACTTGCGAAATTTGGATGAGATATCACCTCCCACAATGGTGCCGATGACTTTTTCGGCAAATAAATTTATTATATACTTCCCTTTTTGGAGTCGTAGCGACGATTTTGAGAAGAAAGTGGGAGAGAGAAAAAAAGTTACATTCCGAAAGAGAGAGAGAAAAGAGTTGCAGAAGGTGCGTGAGAGAGATAGGGTGAGAGAAGTTTTTTTCTAATTAAAAAAATTAATAAAAAATGTCCACATGTTATACACGTGGCATTCCAACCAATGGAAAAATTAAATTGCATCAAAAGGCTATATAAAATTAGGTATTTTAAGTTAAAAATTGAAGTTGGTATCCCCATTAAGCGATTACTCATATTGTTCAGGCCCTTCCAACGAAATTAACCTGAAGAAAGCATTAGCAATTACCTAGAGCATAGTTTGATAGATTCAGTAGGGTCATTTTTTCTTTGGTTATTCTCGAAGTAACGTTGATCATACCTTGTTTATCAGACATTATAATGGTAAGATCATTTTACTAATTTTCCATATTGATAGTATGGTTGTGGCTGGAGATAATGATGAAGAGCTTGCTCAGTAAAAAAAGTTGTTAGCTTAGGAATTTAAGATTAAGGACTTAGGAGGTCGAGATACTTTTTAGATATAGAAGTTGCTAGATCAAATAAAGGAAATATATCTTAGATCTCTTGAAAGAAACTAGCATGTTGGATTATAGACCATCTGACTCTCTGATTAAAGTTAATCACAAATTGCAATCAAGAATAGGAGAATCGGTTCACTTGGGTCGATATCAAAGTTTGGTTAATATATTAATTTATCTCTCATATACTGACCTGATATATAATGTGTTGTAAGTCTAGTTAATCTATATATGCATGATCTTCGTAATTGTCATCATGAAGTTGTTTCTTGCGTTTTAAGATATCTAAAGTCTGCATGTAGAAGAGGTCTACTTTTCTTTAAGCATGATCACCTCAAAACTGAAGCTTTTACTGATACTGATTGTGTTGGATCTGTAGATGATAGGACATCAACTTCTAGTAATTATACCTTTGTTGGAGGAAATCAAGGTACTTGGAGAAGTAAAAAGCAGACCGCAATGGCACGTTCGAGTGCAGAAGTAGGATATAGAGCGACAACTCGAGGGGTTTATGAACTGTTATGGCTAGAAGATAATGGAAGAATTGCAAATGTCGAAAGGAGAAGATTCGACGTTGTTCTGCTATAATAAGACTGCCATTAGTATTACTCAAAATCGAGCTTAACATGATCGAACAACGCACATAGAGATTAATTGACATGTCATAAAAGAAAAAATCATCCAAGGTGTTTTGAAGCTTATTCATATGACTTCGGTAATCAATTATAGATGTTCTCACCAAAAGACTATTCACAACAAACAATTTCACAATTTAGTTTGCAAGTTGAACATGTGCAATATCTATGCACTAACTTTTAGAGTGTTGACTTATTTGATTTGTAATATCTTGTGTAGACCATTTCAAAGAGAATATTGCTCGCTTTATTTATTTTTTTCCTATTTAGAATTAGCTTTATTTATTTTTTTTCCTATTTAGAATTAGTGCTTGTGTATAAATAGGACGCACTAATCTCATTGAAACACAAGAAATTGATGAAATTATTCTCTCATATCAGTCTCTAAATTAAAACATATATTTGCACTTTACGTTTAATTTTTGAGAATCGAAATGACATAACTACAATTCACTTGAAAAGTATAAATATTAAAACTAAGGATAAATTTAGACTTGTCTTTTGAACTTAATAAAAACCCAACAAAACTACACCAGAAAATTTCGATTTTCCTATTAAAATATGAATTGAACCGTATCAGTCACTTTAAAAAAAAAAAAAAATGGTACCAGCAAACGGCCTTTAGCATATGTTTATAAAAATTTTGTAGCATTGACATCCGAAGGATGATTATCGCTTGAATTCGAAACATCTGCATAATGAGGATTCATATTTTATTCTCTTCAAGTTTTATTACAAAGAAATTCAGCTCTTAGTTCTTTTATGTTTGCTTTACAGAAAAGTCCCATTTCGAAACTTATAACAGGATCGACAAGACAGTAACTGATCATAACTTCTTATAAAAAGAAAGACTATATCGGTTATTTTGATTTACAATTATATTGTGTACAAATTCAAACTACTGAAGCGGCATTTTGAAGACAAAAACTATAAAGCAGATAGCAGAAGTATGCAAATCAATACACGGTGGGAACTGCTGCAATTTATATATGCTTGAGCCATTAGACTGAAGATGAAACTTGTGGACTAAACTTCAGGTATTGGTGTAAGTAATTCCTAAGAATTAATATTTAGATTAAGAAGTGTTAGCAAAAATCAGTACAAACCAATGGAAATAAATAACACAGATGAACTTGCAGAATTTACCTCAGAAAATCGCAGATGCCCATTATCCACATTAGAGGTTTTGACAATGGTTTCCCATTTTGGATCGGCATCAGCTGAGTGCAGTTTGGAAGCCTGAACTCTAGGATATGCATTCATACCGGCAAAAGACTTCAAAGATGGATGCTTTGGGGAAACAGCAGGTAAAGTTCGTTTTAGCCAAGACTCTGAAGGAGATTTTGGTAAGGGTGGAGGAAGAAGAAGCAAAGAATAGCCACCATTAGGGGTATCTTGATTACTTGATTTTGTACAAACTTGGCTTTCTATACCCACCTTTCCATCATCAGCTACCTTTGTCTTTGCTATCTTCATAAGATCCTGCATGATGCCATTACAACCTTCCGAGTCACCTGATATCTGACCCAATTCTATCTTGCCATCATCCACTTTTGTGCTTCCTGATATAGTAGAAATACCCATAAGGCTTACATCATGCCTGTAAATATCTGAAACGACTTTTTGCACATTGTTTGTTGATCTCTCAGATAATGATGAAAGACAAGAATCAGTGGACTTCAGAATTTCAGGTGGCATATTTGCCTTTTTGCTCACTGCAACAAAATGCTTCATATCCTTGGGTGAAGAGTCAACAACAGTAGTTTCCTCAATTTCCCCATTTTTTATGACAGTCTCAACATCATCCCTGCAGTAATCAATTGAGCCTTTTAAATCTGAAGAACTTGAATTTGAAATTTGAGAATTTAGCATATGTACAGAATCTATGTACAGAGTTTTCTCAACCAGAGGACTAGCAGAAGTTGTTTCCCATCCAACGTTCTCATTAGCCAACAGTTCTCCAAAACTTTTGGCATTTTTCACATGTGCATTAAAGCCAGCCAATTCAGGATTTTTAGATTTTTCATGGATCTCTAGAAATCTTTTTTCTTTATTAATGCCAGATTGAGAAAACTTGTCATGGTAAGGCAATGTGCCATTACCCTGCAAACGCTCGTATAGAGATGATCCATTTAATTTCTGATTATCATTTCTGCAACTGCTCTTATTTGATTCAGATTTCAGCTTACTCTTATCTTCATTCATACTTGTTTCAAGTAGACCCCTTGATAAATGCTTTTGTGCAGCATCCTTACAATCCTATAGTAAAAATGAAGTCCTTAAGATGCTAATAGTGAGATAAAGAGAGGTGAAGGATAAAGAAAACAATAAAGCAGAAAGATAAGATATGCATACCTCATTCACAGTTTGATCATAATGAGAAGGATATGAAGATCTAGCTTTTCTCATATGGGATGAAGAGATAGGTACTTGGGGCTGTTTTCTCATCCCTGGTACTGGATTTAAAAGACAAAAGGAATTCTGTAAGTATAATCGAGGGAACAACCCACAAACTTTAAGGGATGAGTTATCTGGTCCATCATAATCATCATCCTCATCTTCAATTTCTTCCACTCCATTACCTTGTGAACAATTTGATGTATTGCTTATCCTTTTGCATTGATCAAATGAATGCCGCTTTTGTACACTGACCGTGGTTATTTTTCTAGGTTGTTCTTGTGCAACAAGTTGCTTCCTAGTATAATGTGGAGGAGTTTCTGACGCCATTGCCTTAGCTGCAGGCAGGAATCGACCCATCATGAAATCTCGAGTCTGTGGATCAGTCGAGAAAGTACCAGAAGGTTTCATATCTGGACAATCCAATCCACTCACACCACTTACACTACAATTCAAGAAGAATGATTCACTCCGGGAAAGTGTATCAAGTGCATCTACATAGATGCCATCATCATCCTCTGAACCAGAAATATCTGTCTCCTCCATTCCCTCTCTAGAGCTCTCCTCTTTAGTTACATTTGTATCCAAAAGGACATTTCTCGTTTCAGATTGACCAGCGGTTGTTGCACGTTCAGTACTTCTATCCAAGGCTTGCCTTTCAACATTCAAAATCCGTCCAGGTGGAAGCTTTGGGACAACAGGAGGAATTTCATGGGCCATAATTTGTGGTTTGCTTTCACACTTGGGTCTTCCTGGAGTTTTCTCCCATACAAAAGGAACAGTTCCTGGATTTCTTACTGGACCTGATTTCAATTCAGATTTGTATACAGGAAGACGGGGTACTTTGGGGAGAGCATTGTCAATTTGCCTTTTGTTATCCACTTCTGCAGTTGCTACTGTTGATGAAAACCTCCTTACAGATAGAAATGGCTGATTTAAATCTAATTGCTTTTCTTCCATCAGATTCTTTAGTAAAATGTATTTTGTTTCTGCAAAAGAATATAAACAGGCAAAATTCAGGATCAAGAAATGACTTAAAAAACAGAAAGGCCAATGAATTCAGTATATTCAACCTCATCAAATTATTGATTAGCATATAAAATAGTAATTTAAAAACAATTCATATCCAAATACTATCCCAAAATTTTATACACAGTGAATTTAAGAATAACAGGAATGGAATGGATAAGCATTCGAATCTTTCTTCAATAGAAAAAGAAAAACTAACGGAAGAGTCAGACATGAACCAACAAAAGTATACATCTAATATCTGATTTTTTACATAGTTCCATATTTAATTGTATAAAGCATACATCTAAAAAGGGACAGAAGTCCTCAATTCAAAAGCAAAATGAGAACTCCAACAGCTACAGATTCTACATAAAACGCAAATCCAGTTTCCATGGCTATATATATATATGACAATGACTAGGATAGCTTCTATCGAATTCCAGAACTCACAACAAGACAGGTAAGCAAGCATAAATGTTGCAAAAAAAAAAAAAAAAAAAAAAAACTCCAACAGCTACAGATTCTACATAAACGCCAATCCAGTTTCCGATGGCATATATATTATATATGACAAATGACTAGGATAAGCTTCTTACGAATTCCCAGAACTCACACAACGACAGGTAGCAAGCATAGAATGTTGCAAAAAAAAAAAAAAAAAAAAAAATCAAGAATTTTTGCATTAACCCACAAATTAGATCTGTCAACAATTTGCTTCATTTAGATGCCCAACTCAAGCACATACCAATATTCCATTATTGAGAGCTTGAGAAGAGACAGTAACCCTCTTAGTGTGGCCGATCCAAAAAAAAAAAAAAAAAAAAAAATCAAAATTTTTGCATTAACCCACAAATTAGATTTCACATTTGCTTCATTTTAGGATGCCCAACTCAAAGCACAGTACCAAATTCCATATATTGAGAGCTGAGAATGAGACAGTACCTCTTAGATGTGGCCGATCCAGAGACCAACTCTGTCTGTTTCAGAGATAGAGAGAAAATATATTAATGATAAATCAAAAAGAAAAGAAAGAATATGAGAGAAAGAAGAAGAGAAGTGAAGGATAAACTAGCTTACACGCTTGTGCTTACTTTGCTACCCAGTTGAGCCAGGCAGTTTAATAATTAATTAATTATTGCAAAAGTCTTTACATTCTTTTCAAAAGACTTCTTTTATGAGATTTTTAGTTTTTCACCGTACGTGGCGGCTGAGCTTATGTTATGGTCGGGTTAAACTCATCAAATCAAAGCGGTTCAATTTAATTTAATTTGGGTTTGAACCAAATCAACAACCAACTATTCTTTTTTTAATTGCATGATTCTTTTTTTTTTCATTTATTTAGAATTATTTATAGACACTAGTTGTTTGGAAGCATGTGAGTACAATTGTAAACAAAGGGGTGAGGGGTTCAATAAGTCATTTTCATACACATCATTGGAATGTGAAGACAGGTCTAAAGTCATCACAATGTCTCTTTTTTTATATACTCATTGATTCAATTATGTGAAAGCCATAATTATAAAAATGATAGTGACATTACTATTAGCTCTTCATTGGGTCATAATATTTTGAAACCCAAATTGATAATCATAAAGTCATAGTCAAGATTGCTTTTTAGTTCCAAAAGAAAGATCAATTAGACCTACATCAATTGTGGATTCATCCAAGTGAGCTAAAAAAAAATAAAAAAAAAAATCAAATTTCCCATATTTTTCTTAGAAATATGGTAGTGAGGACAACTTTGTTATTTCCCATTAATATAACAATAAATATACTAATTTTCAGACGAAATAATTAATAAAATAAAATTAAAAGATCTAATGAGATATGTTACTAAAATGTTTAAGATTCACAAATGTAATGTATTTGGCCAACTCTAAAGAGAAAATCTATATCTATATATATATTTATATAATTTTGAAATAAAAAAAATAATCATTATGAAGCTGACATGACACTCTATTAATTAAGGATTGCTTTTTTTTTTTAACAAATTTTTGCATTTTTTTTTCTTTTTTTTACTATAATTTTTCTGTATTTCTACAATTTGATTAGCTTTTAAAATGTTTCTAAGTTTAAAAATTAAGATTTTAAGATAATAAACAATGCTTTTAAAATTTGATTTTACCTTCTAAAACTATCTGCTTGTATACTCTCATTGAGTTTTTTTTTTTTAATTCCTTTTAAATTTGTATCTTTACGCATTCGGACTGCTCAATGCCTCAGCTCAAAGTTTTTCAATTCTAGAAATCTCTCATGAATCGGTCGTCATATGAAGATCAGTTCTTACTGCTCATGTCTCTTAATGGCTTAGTCTTTATTGATCCTGTGCTTCATCTTTATTAATATCCTGGCTGTCGATTGGGTCATCAATGGGGAAAAAAAATTCCTTTATTGTATTTTAATTGGTTATTCCCATAGATAAGTCAAATTTATATCTTCTCGAGTCAAGAGGAATGGATGTTTGCTAATCCCTTACTGAGTTGTTAAGTTAGCTTGCCATTTCATATTTGAAGGAAATGAAGGTCTAAGAGCAGTATGCTTCACCCTTTTTCTTGGTTGATAAGCGCTTCTTTCTCCAGCAACTGGTTTAATAGATTTCTCAAGAGGTGCAGGTGCTTCCTATCGTAGAGATTTTAGCTCACTGACTGCCTTAGCAAAAATTTTTGCTGCACTAGATATCTGATTAGCCACATTATTAAGAGCTTGAATAAGCTTATTTCTCCCATCAGTTTTCTTATCCTCTTGCTGGATCTCTCTCATCAATCCATCTAGATCAACCTCTTCTTCACTTTGCATACCCTCTTTATGGCTTTTCTCACTAGGATAGTCCTCCCACCTAGAGAAATCTAAGTAAGGATCTTCATAAGCCTTTCTTTTCTCTCCTAATTTGTCACTAGGTTCTTTTTCTTTAGCTCTTATCTCTTCCTTAGATTCATCACAGTCACTTTCTAACTCCTATTTTCTTCTTCATTCTCACTACTTTCTTCTTTTTCACTCTCCTCCTCATTGCTTTCACTTTTCTCACTTTCTTCACTACTATCCTTCTCATTATCAAATTCAAATTCCTCAATTTTATCTCCCTCTTGTCTTTCTTTCTCTTTTTCTATCTCTACTTCCTCATTGTTTTTACCTCTTTGCATAGAATATTGAAGAAACCTGTGATTGATGCAATGAGATTTCTTTAGCTTTATCTCATATTCTTCCTTCAAATCAATATCCAAATATTCAAAGAGAGTAGTGAAAACCATATCATATGGTAAGCCTTTCTCTTTGGTGACAGTAGTCATCCACTTAAACATCGAGTGAAACAGATTATATGGCTTCTTATTCTCCAAGTGCCACAATAAACATAACTCTACACTATTAGCATAATCATAACCCCCGAAACATGGCAAAATATAGTGAGAGATAAAGTGATGCCTAATTCTCAAATTCAAGGGTAATTAATTTGCAGACACATAATTGACATCTTTCTTAGTAATCTTTTTCAAGTACCCAACCTTATTGAAGTTTTTTTAATGCATTTACCTTGCTACTTCTACCCTCTAAGGTTCCCTCGTCTAGTATCCCATAAGCCATAGCTAAGTCATTTTTAGAAATTCTATAGGTTTTTCCCTTCAATTTTACTGTAAATGCATCTTCATTTTCTACCTTGATAGACCCATAGAATTCCCTAACTAAAGCCTTATAATAAGCAGACAGCAATTTCATAAAATTTCTCCACAATTGAAATTTAAACCACTCTTTATAGGGAAACCCAAATGAACCATAATACCTCCAATCTATATAATAACCCCTAGTAATGGTATTGTGACAGTGGGTTTTAGAGAGTACCTTTGCCTTTAGATATTTCTCATTATCTTTCCCTTTTTCAGATTCATCAATTACCTTTTCTTTTCCTTTGACTGATGCACTAGGGGAGCTGTTCGCTTTTCTCATGTAGTATATGTTCCAAGAAGGCTTTCAGGCTCAACACTCTTTGTAACACCCATCGCCCGATCCTGGAGTAATAGGTGGCAATGCCACATTCGGTTCCGGAGGCACCTTTCTAAAATACGGATTGAAATCTCATAAGCTAAACATATGGGTAATTTTTTTAAAAAAAAACTATTTCGAGTCTTACAACTCTAGCAAGTCCATGGTTTTACTTAGAAAATGATTTGGGAGATCCTGTAGAAAAACTGCAAGAGTTTCTCCTAGAAATTAGACTTAACTAAAACCTGTGAAACACGAAAGACTTCCAAAACTAACCTCAACAATCCACCAACTCCAATATTCAACTTCAATCAAGATATTCCAATATCAATTCATAATCATCCACAAGGCTTAGAAATAACCATATAACGTACTTAGCTAAATCCATTATATGACTTACATATCATAAAGAATTCTAACCATAATATATATTCTTATCATCCACAAGGCTTAGAAATAACCATATAACGTACTTAGCTAAATCCATTATATGACTTACATATCATAAAGAATTCTAACCATAATATATATTCTTATTAATGCCTAAGTTAATACATAATTGAAATATAATAAACTATATTCAACAAGGAAGTCTTTGGCTCTGAAGCTGGATCTTGACTCCAAAAGCACTCTCGAGTCTACAAACTGCACGTGATAAAAATCGATGCACTGCGTATAACACTCAATGGTGCTCAATAATCTCAACATCCAATGTTACGATGGCAACATATAATCATACTCATAATCATACAATCATTTAATAATCATGCGTAAACAAATATTTCACATGTAAGCATATTAAACAAGTTAGATCATAAGTTCTCATTGACAGCTTATTTCGCAAGTGTACGAATCGCTACAAGTAATATATGATGAGTAAGATATCGTTCCCACGAGGATTGGAATCCAAGTACCAAAATTATGTTATCTTGTCTGATTATTATTTAAACGAAAATGAGGGAAATGGTTACAGAAATTAAATTCAACAAGTTAAAAAAATAAGAAGTAGCAGACAATAATCTGATTTAAAATCAAGCAAGACAATTTGATGAAAAAGAAATCAAGGATTAAAAACTACTAGGGATTTTGACTTCACTTAATTCTATCCAATCTATTTTATTAGTTCGTTGATCAATTTTAAATTTTCAAATAGGGGAAACAACCCTAAAATCACTAACAAGCTCTTCCTATATACTGTTAGCTATTTTAACCCGGTCTAATTACCTATCTTCCAATAGTGCAATCAAACATGAATTAAATCATTAAGTTTTATAGTTTGTTTTGGGAATTCATGATCAAAAGTCATTAACTTATGAAAACCCCCCATGAGTCAAACCATATAGCTTCCGCATCAAATTATTTTTCTCATGTAATTTATTACATTTTTCATATCAAAAACCCTTTTTCCGATAGTGATTAATGAAATAAATCAATCCAGGGGAGAAATTCTGCCTAGAAACATTAAGTTCAATAATAAATTATACTTTGAACAAAGAAAATAATTGCATAAATTTGGAAAAGAGATTAAGCTACATCAAACCCCTAAGGTATAAGAATTTAGTTACACATAGTACTTAAATAAACTTCAAACAGTACTTAAATAAAACTCAACAATACTTGATAAATATTCCATAGTCAATAAGGATAATGAAAGAAATAACAAGATTAAGAGTTTAGAAATGAGAACTAGTGATAAGTTGCTTGAATGACTTCCTTGAAACTTTGCACAACTCTTAAATACTTAACTTCTAACTACATACAAAACTATGAGAGAAAGAAAGAGTGGAGTGTAGTGTAATGTGTGGGATGGGATGCTTTTGGAATGGCTTCTTCCCCTCTTTATATAGACTTCTTGGGGGAACAAGCCTTATGCGTTAATAAGTAAAGTCCAACTTTGTGAGGTGGAAAAGTTCTAAATCAAGCCATAAATTGCTCTCAATTATGGCTTTTCAAATGCATATGGTTGAACTTTGACTGGTATGTGAAGAGAGTATCCAAAGTATCAAGAAAGCATTTGTGCATATAGAAAAGTATCCCAAAGCATTTTTGGTGAAAATGGTAGAAATTAGTTGGTAATTTTGACTCAAAATTATTAGGAAATTCTTGCTTGGCTACGGGCGTTGTTTGCTAGCACGGCCTGGGGCGTGCCAGTTCTTGTGAGCGATTAGAGGCTCTGGTGCCAGTCTTTGGAGGATTAGAGGCTCTGGCACGGGCCGTGTTCCGTAGCATGGCCTGGCAAGCTAGCGCGCACGGGCGTGCTATCTGGCCGTGCAGTTTCTTGGAAGTCTGGTTGATAGCGCGCACGGGCGTGCGGGGTAGCACGGGCTGGGGCGTGCATCTCTCTGGAAGTCAGAGGTATATGAGGCAAGGGCGTGTTCCGCAGCACGGCCTGGGAAGGCTAGTGCGCACGGGCGTGTTCCTCGGCACGGCTTGGGGCGTGCATCTCTCTGTCTCTTGGTTTGTCTCTCCTTGTGCCAGACATGGCCGTGCTTCGTGACACGGGCTGGGGCGTGCCAATTGTACCTTGCTTTATTTTTGTTCTTTTCTTTGCAAAATCCTAAAATTTTCTTTCCAATCGAGTGATTTGTGATTAAAGGAAGCTTTTGAATAAAAACATATCAATAAGCTTTTGAATAAAAACCTATCAATAATTACATTAAAAACTATTTAAAAATAAATTAAAAGTAAATAGAAATTTCACAGTCAAAAATTACAATAAAACAACACTATAACAAATCACACACTATCACAATATTACATAAAAACTAATTTAAATAAATTAAAAGTAATAGAAATTTCAATCAAAATTACAATAAAAACACTATAAAAATCAACACTATCACTCATACTCAAGTAGTATATCATCATTTAAAGCACGAATACATACTTATAAACTTAAAGCATTTGATATTAACTTGTAAAAGCATTTAATACATAAATAGCCAAAATCTAATCACTTATATCAATAACAAAACATATAAACTTATAAGTGCATTAATTACACGGTATTATCTTATTAAATACTTTTTTTCATTTTTAACTTGTGGGGCTCACATACACTTAGTAGAATCAGAAGCAGATCAAATTAGCAGAATCAGAGGGCTATAAAAGCTAAACAAAATCAGAGGGCTAATAAGCCAAATAGGATTATAAGGCTATAAAGCCGAACAGAATCAGATAGGGCGCGTTTGCTCATACAGAGGGCACCCATGTGCCAAGCACATGATTATAGCTATATCTAGATAATCAGAGTGACATCATTATCCCGAGCATGCTCATAATTAGAATAATCTTAATCAAGCATCTAATTCACACCAAGTATAATAAGAGCCCAAAAATTTACTTTCTTTCTTTAAGTTACATGATTACTTATAACTTTACTTGTTCAGACAGTACATAGCCTATACATGATTTATCTCAATTCATAAGTCTTTGAAGCCTTTTAACACTTGGGAGGTTCTATGTGCCTTAAATCTAGGCAATTATAATAAAATCCTCATATTCATACATTATTCAAAATCTCATGTATAATAGCATATTATAATGCCCCAAATTTGACAATCTCGGATATTCTGATTTCTATGATAATTATTGCTAGGGGTGCGCATGGGTTGATTTGGGACGGGAATTCATAATTCTTAGTCCCATCCCAAAATATTGGGATGTAAAAAATGGAGTCTCAATCCCGTCCCAATAGATCTGTAGTCCCCTCCCATTTTTTTAGTCGAAACGGGACGAGAATATGGGTCTATGTGACAGGAGGGAATGAGTCAGATCGAAAATCAATCGGGATTTTCCATAGTCTTGCTAAATTATTTTTCATCAAAAAAAGATAAAAATTTACTATACTCATCAATTACAATCAAACAAAATTCATTTATATAAGTTTGAGTTAAAAAAAAAAGATTAATTCAATCATTGATGATCTACTACTAAAAAAAAGATTAATTCAATCATTGATGATCTACTACTAAAGTTATAATAGAAGATTTTTAAGTAGTTATTTTTTAGTTAATAAAAGTGTTAAATATAGTAAAATAAATTAATGCAAAAATTATATATAATTTAAATTTATATGTATTTTATAAATTTTAACTCATCATTGTTTCTGTCACTGTTGTCTTTAAGCTAATTTAAATTCGCTACTACATAATTTATCTTCAATATTATTTGAAAAATAAATAATGATAGCATTAAGTATATCCAATAATCCAACAATTAATTGAAGTTACTATTTTCTCTTGTATTGATTAATTTTTCTATTTTTTACTTAATAGAAAAAAATTTATTAAAACAATTTACACAACATATGCTGTGGAATAATAGATAAAAAATCTATGTTGAAAATTATGTTTGTTACTTGATTTATTTTATATTTAAAAAAATACATATTATTTTTTCGTACTATTATTACTTAATAGTAATTGGTATCATAAAAAAAGTTAAAGTAAAAAAGATGAAATGATTTTTAAGGGTATAGTTCAAAATACATACAAAAAAAAAAAAAAAAAAAAAAAAAAAAAAAAAAAATTAAGCTGTTTATAGCTTAGAAATACATACAAAAAAAAATAAAAAAAAAAACAAAAAAAAAAAAAAATAAAACAACACATAGATTTTAGGAAAAAGAATGGGACGGGAACATCTATGATATTTTAATTGGCCAGGACTGCATGCATGGCGAAGAATTAGATAGGATACCAAGGGATCGGTTTTTCAAAGCATACCAGGTCTCCCATAAATCAGTTTTCCGGAGGGGACCAGGTGGACTATGAAATTAATATTGCATTATTTTAAAAAAAAAAAAAAAAAAAAAAAAAAAAAAAAAAAAAAACAACTAGAATTTTAAGGAAAAAATGGGACGGGAATTTATGATTTTTTGGCCAGGACGGGATGGGACAGAACTTAGATAGGTACAGGTCGGTTTTAATCAAAGAACCAGTCTCGTCCCATAAATAGTTTCGGGA